GTTGTCAGTTCAAGCCCCACAGTGGGCATAGAGCTTACATAAATGTTTTAAAAAAAGAAAAAGCATCTGTTTTACTTAAAAGCTAAGTAGACTTTTCAACTGTACATCCGTATTTTTTACCACTTTTTTAGTTAATTTCATAATTAATATAGTGCTACCAGTTTAGGCAGGACATAATAATTTCTGTTTCTGTTTACTTTAAAAAATATCAGATTTAATACATCTGTTCCCCAAAACTGTCATTTTACAAAAACAGTTGTGTTTTGCTGTAATATGAGGATTTTTTCTAGTAACTACAATTTCTTCACCTTTAGAAACTATACAATATGAAGTACAGCAGTTGATATCACTATTCTTAGAATTTATTTTCTATAGGAAATTTTGTTTAAAAGCTACATTTGCGTGCTAATGACTTAGAGTTTTTCCATATCTTTTTGAAAATCAACAAGTACTCTTAAGTCCTCATATGGTACCGATTATTGAGACTTTTCAGGAAATGTTCTGAGTAGTTTCCTTGGTTGTTTGGATTGTTTGAAATAATTATATAGTAGCTTAGAAGGACCATGGTAACATTGTTGTTTTAATTTTAATATTTTCCTATAGAAATGTCTAACAGGGAACTCTCTTTACAGGAAAAAACAAAAAAGAAAAAGAAGCATAAGAAACACAGTAAGAAGAAGAAAAAGAAGGCTGCTAGTTCAAGTCCTGACTTGCCATAACCTTAAGAAAAATCAGGATTCCCTTATAAAGAAAGTGCAATGTCTAAGGAAATTTCAACTGTGAAAATTATGACATAATTACTAAAATGCATGAATTTTCTTGTTTTTAGAATTATTCCTGGACTATTCAGTAGCCACTCGGATGCCGCTGTGTGAAAGGGCCATAATTGTTGCCTGCTGCTTGAACATCTGTTTTTTTCTCTTCCAGTGCTTAACAACTCTGGGAGATAATACACTGCAGTTGTGCTAGTGGTTAAGATATTTGGGGATAAAGTTAATATTTTGACTAGAAGTATCTAATGATAAATCAACAGAAATCAAATCTGGATACATCATTAAGATGTAATTAGCAATTACCAGATGATTCTAGTTAACATTTTTGGAATAGGCATTACATTGATATTTCAAAATCCTTACTCTGTAGATAAGTGTATTTTAATTTTTTCCCCAATATACTTTTATTTACCTGGGGAAGGAGCTTTTCGGTTGGGGTGGTGGTTTGCTATCTCTTTAGCTAGCAGAATAGCGTGCCTTTTATCCTCACACATCCTATTTTTGTGGACATAGTAGCCATGCTTCATGGGGAGGTCAGAGCTGGGTATAGCAGTCTTGCCCCTAGATATCCTTGGACTCTGTTGTTTGCTGCTTTAAGTGAACCAGAGAAACAGCCCTTTGCAGCATGACAGAGCCCCAGAAGCTCTGGGATTCACCTCCACTTCAATAATACTGAATGTTTTTTAGCATTAGAATGTGTTATAACATTTGAATTAATTTTGACTATACTTTGGCTTTGGAGAAGAATCATTTCAAATAGACACTGGTACTTTTTGAACTTGATAGCTAAAGATTTAAAATGCATGTTTTATACTGTTAAGTTTTAACCAGTCAGGAAAATTTTATGTAACCAGTAATAGTTATTTTATTTTTGTATGAATTTTGTTTAGGCTGCAATGTTTAGCTTTTATTAACTCCTTATTCTTGCTTATTAAATTCCTTATTGTGTTTAATGGCATACTTGCCAAGATACTTAGCATGTAAACAAAGCAGGCTTTTGATTTTTTTTTTTTTTTTTTTTTTTAAACAGCTTCATATTGAAGCTTGAGACTTACTATAAACAAGTTGAGTGGCAGGCCTGGTATACTGTGTCTTGTTACATAAAGCTATTGCCAGAATCTTAGTAAATATAACATTTTAGAAATTTGTCTTTGTATATTCATAACAAATTATGACAAGTTAAGTGAAAATTACATTATTGCTCTTCCTGTGTCATATTTTACTAAGATTTTGTGCCTCATATCTACTGCTGAATTGTTTACTAGTAATGTTAAAAAGAATTGATAAATCATTTTCACTTTACATTTTTATATAATCAGGTAACATGAAAAATAATTTGATGTACAATTTTGCCTGTTACAGAGGGTGTGCTAATTATAGTGGTATATGCACAAAACATTTTGGCATGACAAGAGGCTGAATAAATAGCTATTTTACTTAAAAATAGCTGTGTTCGTACCAACTCCCTTTGAGTCCCAACTAAAGTTCCAAAGATCAAGAAGCACTACTGGGTGATAAGCGGATAAGACATGTCCCCAAATTTTTAGCTGTAAAAATAATATATTTCTTGGTAAGCTTCCTTAAATTTTATGCTTAAAACTTCATACTCTTTTTCCTAATAAAAGATATCTATATGCTCTTGAGTACACAGCAAGTTTGAGGGACATTTTTTTTAATCTGAAAGGAAGTTTCTTAGGATTGTTGTTCACAAAAATGCTAAAAGATTATCAGGCTATTTTGTGATCGTTTTTGGTATGAACATAAAAGTGTTCCGTTGTACACTGGTCCAGTACATGATGACTATGTCCCACAAGAAGCAACTGTTACTAGATTGAGGAAGAAGATGACCTGGCAAAAAAATTGTATTTGTTTCCAAACTCTGTTGACTGTCTAGGAAACACTTTTCTCATTGTTCCTCTGCTGGTAGCCTTTTTTTTTTAATTTACATAACTAACATACAGTATATTATTAATTTCAGAGGTGAAGTTCAGTGATTCATCAGTTGCATATAACAGCCAGTGCTCGTTACATCATGTACACTCCTTAATGCCCATCACCCAGTTACCCCATCCCCCCAATCCCCCTCGCCTCCAGCAACCTTCAGTTTGTTTCCTGTGGTTAACAGTCTCTTATGGTTTGTCTCCCTCTCTGATTTCATCTTGTTTTATTTTTCCCTTCCTTCCCCTATGCTCCATTGTTTTGTTTCTTAAGTTCCACATGTGAGTGAGATCATATGATATTGTCTTTCTCTGATTGATTTATTTCCCTTAGCATAATACCCTCTAGTTCCATCCACATCTTTGGAAATGGCAAGATTTCATTCTTTGATGGCTGAGTACTATCCTATATTATGTGTGTGTGTGTTACACACACACATACCACATCTTCATCCATTCTTCTGTCGATAGACATCTGGGCTCTTTCCATAGTTTGGCTATTGTGGACATTGCTGCTATAAACATTGGGGTGCAGTTGTCCCTTTGGATCACTCCATTTGTATCTTTGGGGTAAATACCTAGCAACATAATTGCTGAGTTGTTGGGTAGCTCTGTTTTTAACTTTTGGAGGAACCTCCATACTGTTTTCCAGAGTGGCTGCACCAGCTTGCATTCCCACCAACAGTGTAAGGGGGTTCCCCTTTCTTCCTCTGCTGGTAGCCTTAACAGTCTTCTTTCTAATAAGGTAAGGGAAGATTTGACCAGGTAATGTTATGTGTAAATTACTAACATCTCTTAACTTACTCCCTCCAGCAGATCATGCTTTTTCTTGAATAATTTTCCTCCAGTTTTATAAACACAGGGCATGTTATTTGGATAATGATGCCAAGGTAGCTGGAACAAAGTTGATGAGTATCTGAATCAAAAAACTGAATTCATACCAGTACTTTATTTGGTTGTTTTGGATTCATTTGGTTGCCCTTAGTTTATTTAGGTGTTTTAAATACCATGAGAGTAGGGGGACCTGGGTGGCTCAGTCGTTAAGTGCCTACCTTTGGCTCAGGTCATGATCCTGAGGTCCTGGGATCAAGCCAAGCATCAGGCTCCCTGCTCAGCGGGATGCCCACTCCTCCCCCTCCTTCTCCCCCTGGTTGTGTTCTCTCTCACTCTGTCTGTCTCTCTCAAATAAATTTAAAAAACAAATAAATACCATAAGGGTATCCTGAACTTTTTTATCCCGAGTATAGGTTCATAGTCCTTCAGTCCGGATGTTGTTAAATCCTGTTGCCTAATACTCTTTCATGAAGAACAGTAGACTAACCTCCAAGAAATTGAGCACACTCTTTAGACTTAAGTGACAGATTTCACACTTTTAAAACATTGCCAGTTTTCAACCTAAAATCAGTGAACACTCATCTGGTATTTCCTAAAGAAAAGTTCTAGGAAAGCTTTTTTTTTTTTTTTTTTTTTTTTTTTTTTTTTTTTTTTTAATAAAGATTTTATTTACTTATTTGACAGAGAGAGAGCACAAGTAGGCAGAGAGGCAGGCAGAGAGAGGGGGAAGCAGGCTCTCCGCTGAGCAGAGAGCCCAAAGCAGGGCTGGATCCCAGAACCCTGAGATCATGACAGGAGCCAAAGGCAGAGGCTTGGGAAAGCTTTTTTCTTCCAGATGTGTTTGTCTTATTTTAAAATTCATTGTGAAATTTTATTTAAAATGTATAAGAATATAGTGTACTAAATTCTAAAAATCATTTTAGTACATTTTCTTCCTTACCATAGTGAAAGCCAGCAAACATAGACCAGGAGTTGTTTGTTCTCTGATAGAATTTGACAGTAGGCAGGAGTTAGCACTGTTGTCATTTTGGCCGGCTTTGGCATGGTCACAGCATGCTTTTTTACAGTCAGATACAAGTTAGAGGGGTCAAGTGGGATTTTACATTTCTCTAGGAGCTCCCAGATTAAAGTCTCTCTTTGGAGATCATGAGAGGGTACTTTGAGTTTTTGTCTTCTAATTTTTTTAAAAGATTTATTTATTCATTTTAGAGCACACACAAGCAGGGGGAGGGGTATGGGAGAGAATCTCAAGCAGACTCCCTGGTGAAAGAGGAGCCCATTTTGGGGCTCCCTCCTACATCCCCAAGATCATGACCTGAGCTGAAACCAAGAGCCAGATGCCCAACCAACTGAGCCACCCAGGCACCCCTTAGAGTTTTTAAAGGAGGTTATAATCTTTGGAGAAGCAATTATTTGTAGCCTAGAAAAATATTTTATTTCAGTGTAAAAATAAAGTTTTTATCATCTTATTTCTCAGTTGAAACACTTTCAACTGTACAGTTTGTGCTGAGGAAAAATAAATGACAGTAATATCAAGTACCACTCTAAGTGGTATTTAGCCCTAAGAAAAAATAAATGTTTGAATTGCTATATATTTCAGATCACAATAACATTAATAACATTCCTGCATTTGTATTGAGTGGTAACAACCATTGTTGCATATTTTCCAATCACTTGAGAACCTTCTGTGTTTGGTTGCTGGAATGTTACCATGGTCACATTCTGTTGGGCAGAGAGTAGTGAACTGTGGAACCAGTGGCAATCCAGGACGCGTAGGCCTGGCTTGGAACTAGGGTATCTGAGAATTGTGCAGTGTGTTGAAGCCACACTTGGCATGGACCAGAAGAATCTGAAGAAGCTGGTGGAATCCATCAGTACTACTGTCAAGAACTGTAAGTACTGACCAGACACCCAACACTCTCTGAACATCTTTATTCCATCAAATAGAAACATTGATCAACCTATTTGACATCAACAAGTTCTTTGTAACCTTCAAAATAGAGTTTCTCTAATTTCAATATTTTGGCCATTTAAAAAATAGATCATAAGTGAACTTACAAGATCCCTGCACTTAAACTGAAAATATTTAATATTTTAATCCTAAAATGTGTATGTGGAAAAGTTAATTTGAGACCTTAAATGACAGCGTACGTGTGAAAGGACTATCTGCCAACCATGTACTGATTCTGTTACAGTCTGAAATTTGATAAGAGATTTCAGACTAAAGGTTTACTCTGAAGGTTTTCCCTAAGTTTTCTGGCACAAAACCTGTAGAAGTATTGGATTGACAGAGCTACAGAAGATATTTTAGATGCTGAAGAAATATAGTACATGGCAAGTGTTATTAAAATTAATGTAACAGATTTGGGGGGATTCCTTGCCCTGATTGCCCTGACAGACCTTAGAAAGTAATCGTCTGTATTTTGTCTCTCGGGCATGACAACAAACTGTCCTGACTCAGAATTCTGAGAATGGCCTCAGTGGGACAGGCACCACCTTAAGATCTCCTTGTAGACTTAATTCAGTTTTCTCTTACGCCAGGTATGTTGTAAATGACTTGAGTTCCTCAGGCACTTCTAGGGCCTGTTTTTCCAATCCTGCTGTCAGACAGCCCTTGAAATCCATCTGGCAGATTAAACCAATGTTGAATATCATATCTTCTGTTTGCTGTTTTCTGAACAACCTGAGTTTCATAACATTCAAAAGGCGATTTTGCAGACTTTAAAAATCTAATCTCTCCCCACCCTAAAGAAACTATTTTCATTAATATCCGCTACTCAAATGTGTGTTCAATACCTAATTTTTTACTTGAAAGCAACTCTGAAAGTTGGTAGGTTATGAATATGTAATACTAGACCAGACCTATATTCCATATAGTCTCCTACAAAGAGGATACTTAACAGTTATGTGAAAAGAGGAAGGAGTGGCATTCCTTTCCAAAGTGTTGATGCTAAGTTATGATCAAAAGTCAAGCTGTAGGGGTGCCTGGGTGGCTCAGTGGGTTAAAGCCTCTGCCTTCGGCTCGGGTCATGATCCCAGGGTCCTGGGATCGAGCTCCGCATCCAGCTCTGTGCTCAGCAGGGAGCCTGCTTCCTCCTCTCTCTCTCTGCCTGCCTCTCTGCCTACTTGTGACCTCTGTCTGTCAAATAAATAAATAAAATCTTAAAAAAAAAAAAAAAAAGCTCGGGCTGTAGCTATTCAGCAGTGTAACCAGATTACTATTTCACACTCTGATTACTTAACTCATGTTTATTGAGCTCTTCATTGGGAAGATGCTGTGCTGAACGGTTTATGTTCATCTTCAATTCTCAAACCCAATGAGGTAGGTGACATTTTCCATGTTTTCAGATGAGGAATCCCAAGTCTTAGATTGTCTGAAATTAAAGTGGACTTTTCTAGTGGAGGCAAAAACAGAACTCAGGTAAGTCTGATGCCAGAACCTGCTCCCAATTTTTCTCAAATTAATGCTACTGATAAGCATTCTAGACTCCTATGGTCATTCTGTATAGTACTGTCCCATAGTAACTGCAGAATGAAAGTTGAATTTGGCTCACTTCTTGGGTCCTCTCAGGACTGGAATTTAGTTTTGTTGCAGTTGTCTTAAGGTTTTATTTTTAAGTAATCTCTACACCCAACATGGGGCTCCAGTTCACAACCCCAAGATCAAGAGTCGCCTGCTCTCCCAACTGAAAGCCAGGTGCCCCTGGAATGTAGTTCTTAATAGGTAGGTGTGGGGAGGGCTAATAACTAGTGCCATCTTGGCCTCCTTTCAAGAAAGGACTGTCTTGGAGCAACTGGCTGGAATAAAACATTCAAGAGCTACAGCTGCATTGTCCAGTACAGTAACCATTAGCTATGGGTGGCTATTATCTAAAAAAATATTTTAAGTAATCTCTACGCCCAAGATGCGACTTGAACTCACGATGCTGAGATGAAGTGTCGTTGCATGCTTTAGCAACCAAGCCAGCCAGGTGCCTCATTTTTTTTAAAGTATATGTGTGACTATTTAAATGTAAATTAAAATTAAGTAGGATTTTTTAAACCTTTAATCTAGTGGGGATGGCAGATCATTACCTCAGGACGTAATAAATGGCTTCATGGGTATGCAACCTGTGCATTGTCACAGGGCCCCATGCTTAGTTTAATGCTCTGCTAACACTGACTTAATGTTTTGAGTTTTGCCTTGGGCCCACAAATTCTGTAGTTTATCTTGTCTAGGTACCTCTTCCTCATAGTATGGTAGGAGTATCTCCACCATCAGAATTACCTAAAGATTCATATGGAAAATGCAGATTCCTGGATACCACCCTAGGTACATTTAAAAATCTGTAAGTGGGGGCCAAGCATCCAGATCATTCACTCCGTGTATTAGACACACGTAAGCTTAAGAATTCATGATCAAAATTATCTTTTCCAAGTGAAACTTCAGTTCCTTTTTTTTATTTATGAGGTCAGTTTTTTATTTTTTTAATTCTAAATTTACACATTAAGTTGCATATTCACACATCCTTGGCAATCTGGCTTTGTGTGTGTGCATGTATGTGTGTGTATGTGTATTAAATCTTTTTTTGGTCTCTGTGGAATTTGAAACCTAGCTGATTTATTGTCTTCTTATTATTTCTCACATTGACGATTAATTTTTTCCCCTAAGCCTTCAAAGCTGTCATTTAGAAACAACTAATGCAGGGGTTTCCACTACCTACTGCCTTATTTTGTGCTTTAAACCCAGAAAATTGTACTTTTTTCTTCCTTCTTTAGAATCGTAAATAATATTGCTAACTACATGGTGGCTGTCTTCCCTTAGAATATTTTTTTTTAATTTAAAATTCAATTAGCCAACATATATCTTAAGTTTCATGAAACTTCAGTTCTATCACCCTAATAACAATCTCAATTTGACTGATAGTTAGGAGTTGACCCAGTCTTTTTCACAGTGTTGTTTAGCCACAATTTTCACACTTACATAGATTTAAAAATTTTTTTAAAGGTAACTGAAGAATTTTAAAACTTTCCAATAATTTCATGTCATTTGATTCAAGTGATTATCTTGCCATCAAGAAGCTACTTTGGATCCTGACTCATCCAGTATATTCCTTTACCTCTCCTGTTTATAAGGGGTTATCATTTATTTTAGCAAACATTTGAGAACCTACTATGGTGCTTGGCACTACTGGATACTGAGTAGATAATTAATTCAAGAGTAAGAGGTTTTTCTCAAATGCCTTGCTAAAATCCAAATACTTCATGACTGCATTTCTCTGATCCACTCCTACCAAGAGGAGGAAATAGGTTAAATCTAGTATGATAAACTCTTGTGAATTCAAGAGCCCCTGAGTGTTCATGAATCTTTTAATTCAATTGATCATCTCTTCTGGACTTAGCCCAGGACCACCTAGATACCCAGTAGCCCAATATTTACCTTTCACTTTGTGAGACATAACATGGGCCAATATGTATGCATATATAGGTTAGTATGCATACGTATTTTCCAGCTATGTCTGCTGAGAGGGCTTAGAAATATTCTGCCTTCCCCCCATTATTTTTTAAGAATGTAACCTAATAGGGGCGCCTGGGTGGCTCAGTGGGTTAAGCCGCTGCCTTCGGCTCAGGTCATGATCTCAAGGTCCTGGGATCGAGCCCCGCATCGGGCTCTCTGCTCAGCAGGGAGCCTGCTTCCTCCTCTCTCTCTGCCTGCCTCTCTGCCTGCTTGTGATCTCTGTCTGTCAAATAAATAAAATAAAATCTTTAAAAAAAAAAAAAAAAAAAGAATGTAACCTAATATTTATTAATATATCGACATTACATTTTTTCATGGACAATGGTGATTTTTAAGGGAAGGGATATCAAGATACATAAGTCTTAGATAATACATTATTTGATCATGTTGATAACAGTTTCTTTGAGAACGCATCACTTTGTGAATATTCCTAAGTTTTTGTTTTTGTTTTTTTAGGTAGAGAATATCAATAAAGTCTTAAAAGGAGGCAAACATTCAGCCTCCCCATTTTTCAATTTGTCACATTCCGTTTAGGCCATATTATGTATTGGGCTTAGAAATATTAATACCCCAATAATAACCAGCACACCCAGTGCCTAGGCCTTGGTGTCTAAATGCCAGTCTCCAATAAAAAGAACCAGGATTCCTTGAAGAAGTAGCTGCACAGAGTGTAGAAGGAAACCCTACACTGCGCCTGTATGTTTCTCTTTTACTCTGACATTACTACCAAATACCACGTTTACACTTCTGACATTTCTGGTCTCCAACAACTGTGTGGTTTTTTCCCAGCAAGGAATTTTCTGGGACATCCCAGTGATTTCTTAATCCTGACACTAACTGTGAGATGGCATCAGATCCCATAAGTTGAGTTCAGTTCCACAAGACTGTCTCCCACTTCAGATGACCATCACATGTCCAGGTTGTTTTATCTTCATTTCTGACTGACTGGCTATAAATTGGAGGTCCAATTAATTTGCTAGAACAGCTCACAGAACTGAGAAAAATAGTTTAATAAATTACTGATTTATTATAAAGGGATATAATCGGGAAGAGCCAGATGGAAGAGATGCATAGGGCAAGGTATGTGGGAAAGGGCATGGTGCTTCCATTCTCTCTGCCAGGACATTCATATGTTCACCAACCTAGAAGCTCCCTGAACACTACTTTGGGGGTCTTCATGAAGGTTTCATCACATAGGCTTCGTAGATAATTAACTCAAGAGCCAACACTTCTGAGAACGGGATGGGGCTGAAAGTTCCAAGCTTTCAATCAACACTTTGGTCCATCTGGTGACCGGCTCCCATCCAGAAGTCACTAGCTGTCACCTCATTAGAACAAAAGATTCCTATTACCCCTTCACCCCAATGTTCTAAGAGATTTAGGAGCTTTGTGTTGAGAACCAGGGTCAATGACTAAATTTAACAAAAGATACTACTGTTCACATCATTTAGGAAATCCCAAGAATTTGGGGAGCTATGTGTCAGGAACCAGGGGCAGGGACCAATATATATATTCCCTGTTATCTCACACAGAGGTAATAAGAGATTGGCCGGACAAGTAGTACCAGGAAGCAAAGAGGTGAAAAAGCCAGTGGGTTGTGCTATGTGAAACATACAAGAGCCAACTCAAACTCCTAATGGCCAAAACTGTAGAACAATTTGAGTAAGAAGATTAACAATTATTACAAATAAGTATTATTTGACTCTCTGCCTCCCCCACCCCATAGTGACATAAATGAGTAAATAAATGGGGAAAAGATATCTTTCTTTCAGGAGAACTCCAAATAATAGTATAAATGCTCCTTCCCAAGTAGTGGGATTCCATTTTACTTGAATAGTTGGCTTCTAAAGAATAGATTGTGGAAAGGGAAAACAATAACTAGAGTGGAGAATCCTGTAGACTAGCTTAACCAAGTGATCAAAGTTATCAGCTGTTAACCTTAATATGTATCACCCTGACATGTGAGAAGAACAGCAATTTATCTCTGGGAGTCTTCACCAAAACACCTAACCATGGTCTAATTGTGAGAAAAACATTAGGCATACACAAACTGAGGAACACTGTGCAAAATAAAATACCAAGGTTACGAAAGACTGAAAACTAACAGATTTGAAGAGACATGACTACCAAGTATATCCTGGCTTGGATTCTGGAACCCCCAAAAAAAGGCTTAAGTAGGAAAAGTGGTAAAATCTTTAGTTAATAATAATGTGCCAATGTTAGCATATTTGTTTTGACAACTGTATCCTGGTTTTGTAAGGTGTTAACAGGGAGAGAGTAAAGATTTTATGCAAACTTTATCATCATTGCTTCTCTTACGTGAATCTAAAGTTATTCCAAAATAAATAACATGGGCCAATCTCTAGGACCTCACCATCCTCATTCACATGTGATCTTTCACATATAATTTACCATGGTTCCTTGACCTCATGAGTAAGGTTTTAAGATGTAATGGAATGTGAGCTTACGTGGATAAAACCCAGAGAAAGTTATTACCTGCTAAAGACTGGGCCTAAAATCCTTGATAGCTGTGTTGAATGACTTGTTAGTATTTGACTCAGAGCAGCTCCTGCCTCAAAACCTCCCTTACCTCAGGGATCCATTTTCACATTGTTGGTGCTAACATTTCCACTCGTTGATAATTCTCTCCCTCAGAACCGAGCAGGACTATCAGGCAATCGTTAACATACTCTGGACTCCATACAGTGCATCCACACCTGAGCTTCTTTTTACTTCATATTCAAGAAGGAAGAGGAGGAGGCAGCAGTTTTCAAGTTTTCATCCTCAGAGCAGCTGCATCTCCTTCTGTGACCTAGCCTTGCAGAGTCACGTTGCCTTATTTCCACCGAGCTCTACTGGTTGAAACAGTCACACACACACACACCCCCTGCTCCCTCCTAGTTTCAAGTAAAGGAGAGACTCCCATCTCTCAGAGGAATATCAAAATCATTGTACGAAGAGCATATGGCATGGGAAGGACTGTTAAAATTCTTTAGGAAGTGTCTTGTCATATCTCAACTCCCCATTCATCAGGTAGTTTCAAGAATCTACTGCCAAGGGGCGCCTGGGTGGCTCAGTGGGTTAAGCCGCTGCCTTCGGCTCAGGTCATGATCTCAGGGTGCTGGGATCGAGTCCCGCATCGGGCTCTCTGCCAGCGGGGAGCCTGCTTCCCTCCCTCTCTCTGCCTGCCTCTCGGTCTACTTGCGATCTCTCTCTGTCAAATAAATAAATAAAAATCTTTAAAAAAAAAAAAGAATCTACTGCCAAAATGTTCTCCCTTAAAGATTTTTATTTATTAGAGAGCAAGAGAGCTTAAGCAGGCGGAGTGGCAGGCAGAGCAGGTAGAGGGAGAAGCAAACTCCCTGATGAGCAAGGAGCCGAATGCAGGATTCAATCCCAGGACCCTGGGGTCATGACCTGAGCTGAAGGCAGACGCCTAATTGACTGAGCCACCCAGGCGTCCCACGTGTTCTCCCTGAAGTGCAAATATGTTCCTGTTAGCTTGCCAGCGAAAATTTTCCAGAAACTCCTCATTGTCTGTAAAGTGAAGTCTGCCATCTAGCTACACCACACCGTTTGCAGCTAGTTCTCAGACCATACCTCCAAGCTGCCTCCTCTGACCAATGCTTACTTTGGCAGACCTTAGCTCAAATGACACCTTCTTGGGACTTTTAATTTCCTACTGACGACTCCAATTGATTATTCCTTCCTTTGGGTCACTACCAAACACCATCAATCATAGTGCTTGTCATGCAGCACTTTTTTTTTTTTTTTTAATCTAAGCCAAAGTGTAACAACTTGGTGAGCAGCAAGCATGGTGTATGCATTGCCTGGTTCACAAGAGGTTCTTAATAAATGGTTATCGGGTGGAGAAAAATGACCTGTATGTCATGTTTCAGTTACACTGTGGAATTTGAGAATCTAACTCAGTTCATAAAACAGTATTAGTAGGTACCTTTGTAATTCCTTATTCTCCAGATTTGTCAACCAATTCCCCTAAGAACCAAATCGCTCTGACCATCATAGAAACTCTAATGTTATAAACTGTGTATGTGCTGTGTGTTGTCATTGATTTCAGTTAGGGGACATGAAATCATCTCAGACAGCATCTAAAATTTCTCCCCACCTTCTCTATAAAAAGAAAGCAGGAGGCAGGGGTTGGAGAAGAGAAAAGAAATAATAACCAGCTTTCCTTCCTAGCTTTTCTGGTTCTTTCAAATAATCTTTGATTCATAGAATTGGGTTTTCAGGAACTAAAAGAATCTCAAAGATCATCTAGAACAATACCCAGTTTTATAGGTGAGGACTCTGACCATAAAGAAGCTATATGACTTGTCTAAGTCCCCTGTTTAGGTAAGAAATGAAGGGAAATCTAGACACTTTTGTACCCCCAACCCACTAAGTCTAATTCCTTAATTCTAAGTCCTGACAATGCATTAGAATACCCACGCACTTCTTTAAAAAATACCCTTTTCCTAAGTCTAGACTGAAATCTAGGCATATGAATATTGGAAATTTCTATTTGAAAACTAGTCACCAAGTCCTACTGATTTTCTCTAACTTCTCAGGCCCTTTCCCCGTCTCTGACCTTATTTCCACTTCCCTAACCAAAGCCCTATCACTCCAAGCCTGGCTTCTATGCTTCCAGTTTTCCCCTTAAATATAATTTTGCTACATGAATTTTCCTAAACCACTTCTCAACCCTTAGGTCCTAGAAGAATCAACCCAGCTCTTCTTTAAAAGCTAATTCCAGGAAGCGTGGGTGGCTCAGTGGGTGAAGCATCTGCCTTTGGCTCAAGTCATGATCCTGGGGTCCTGGGTTGGAGCCCTGTGTTGGGCCCCCTGCTCAGTGGGAAGTCTGCTCCTCCCACTCCCTTTGTTCCTCCTCCCTGCTCTCTCTCTCTCTCAAATAAACAAATAAAACTTTTTTTTTTTAAAAAGAGTTTATTTATTTGACAGAGAGCACAAGCAGTGAGAGTGGCAGGGGGAGAGGGAGAAGCAGACTCCCACTGAGCGGGGAGCCTGATGTGGGGCTCAATCCCAGGACCCCCTGAGCTGTAGGCAGACACATAAACAACTGAGCCACCCAGAAGCCCTAATAAATAAAACTCTTAAAGTAAATAAAAAATAAAAGCTGATTTGTGGGCCTGATGTTAGCGATCCTGACTTGGTAGTTCTGGGGCAAGACATGGGACTCTGGATTAAACAAACAGTGGAGAGGGGGTTGATTCTCTCTTATAGATGGTCCAAAGATGGTCCATGAGAAAAATCATTGCTCCAGTAAAATGCAGCTGATGGTTGAACAACCTGGAGGATAAAAGCACTAATACCCATACAGTTGAAAATCCATGTTTGACTCCCCAAAACCTTAACTACCAATAGCCTATTTCTGACCTTGCTTATAAAGTCAATTAACATATTTCATATATTTTATGTATTATATACTACATGCATAAAGTAAGTAAAATGTTATTAAGAAAGTCATAAGAGAATGGGGCACCTTGGTGGCTCAGTTGGTTGAGCCTTCAACTCTTGATTTCACCTCAGGTCGTGATCACAGGGTCGTGAGATTGGGCTCTGGGCATGGAGACTTAAGATTCTTTCCCTCTCTCTCAACCCCTCCCCAATCTCTCTCTCTCAAAAAAAAAAAAAAAAAAAAGAAAGAAAGAAAGAAAGTCATAACAGAAAATACTTTTACAGTACCGTACTATGTTTATTTTTTTAAGTCACATTTAAGTGGACCCGCAGTTTGAACGTATGTGGTTCAAGTCAACTGTAAATGTTAATTTTCTGACTAGGCTTTCAAGGCTCTCTGCCATTAACCCATCCTCTTCAATCTTGTATTTTCACTTCTCAACTTGCTGTGCTCCCAGTAAAGCATGTTCAAACCTGACAGCAGTTCTACGACTTTCCTTTACCCATGTTTTCTCTCCCTGGAATTCTCTGTTGTATTTCCCTCAATACATTCCTTCCCGTATAAATACTATGCATATATATATAATGGTGAGTGTTAGTATTACATAATTTTTCATTTACACACTCTCTTATGAGACTTCTGGGTGACTCCCAGAAAGGTAAGCTCTCAAGTAACAAGTCATGTCATACTTTCTAATCGCTAGAGCATCTAGCAGCACGGGGACAAAAGAGCTGCTTAGTAAAATATTTTTTATTAGATTGGAGTACTCAAGGACTAAGTCTAAGCTGTATTTATTTGTATTTTTATTTTGCAGTCAAAAAAAGTGAAGTAGAGTGTCTCCTACGACTTTTTCACAGCTTGGTGGAAAGAGCTAATGTAAGACTTAATAACTTCGGACTAGACCGTAACGCGTTTCGAGTGATCCTACACAACATATTTGGAATGACTGATGATATGCTAATGAACAGGGGTAAGAGTCTTAAGAAACTGAAATGGGCCAAGCCGTGATGGCAATATATATGCTGTACATATTACTCTGTGGCAAATATATATTTGTAATGACGAATTTATAGATGCCAAATGTATTTTTATATACATATGTATTCTGTTGTCATCAAAGACTGAATTTTTTAAAAAAGATAGATTTATTTATTTATTTAGCAGGATCATGCATGTTGGGGGGAGGGGCAGAAGAAAAGGAAAGGGACAGGCAGATTCTACACTCAGCAGAAACCCATCACTGAGCACAAAGCCCCTCCAGGAGCTTGGGGGTTGATCCCACAATCCCCAGATCGTGACCTGAGCCAAAATCAAGAGTTGGGTGCTCAGCTGACTAAGCCACACAGGAGCCTCTTGAATTTTTCAATGCCAAACCAGAAAGACTTAATTGTGGTAAGACAAAACAAAGGTTGATTTGATTATACGATGTTTTTTTTTTTTAATAAAAACTCACTCAGAATTTCTTATCTTATAGCTGTACCACTTTGAGAAATAACCAGCAATGAACTAAATAAGCTGACAGGTATTTTTTATTTTAATTAAGCATATGGCTTTTTATTCATGATGTCTTTGGATTCATATGCTATAGACATGTAAACTATTAAATGACTTTTTTCTCTTCTTAAAAATACTGTATCAGGGGACGCTTGGGTGGCTCAGTCATTAAGCATCTGCCTTCAGCTCAGGTCATGACCCCAGGGACCTCGGATTAAGCCCTGCATAGGGCTCCCTGCTCGGCGGGAGGTCAGCTTCTAACTCTCCCACTCCCCCTGCCTGTGTTCCCTCTCTTGCTGTGTCTCTCTCTGTCAAATAAATAAATAAAATCTTTAAAATAAAAAAATACTGAATCAGTGGGGTGCCTGGGTGGTTCAATTGGTTAAGCAACTGCCTTTGGCTCAGGTCATGATCCTGGAGTCCTGGGATCGAGTCCCGCATTGGGCTCCATGCTCTACAGGAGGTCTGCTTCTCCCTCTGACCCTCTCCCCTCTCATGCTCTGTCTCACTTTCTCTCTCTCAAATAAATAAGTAAAATATTAAAAAAAAACTGTATCAGTACAAAAAATGATAATTACTCATTATACTGAAAAAAATAAAAGACAAGATCTTATATTTAAAATTGAAAAGTATTTAATGTGATCTAGTTTCACTAGCAAATTTTTCATATTCAATTTGGTAAGTTTGACCTAGGTATGTACCTTGAGACCATAATCATAATAAAAATAATTAGCATCACCCCTAAAAGAGTCAATAACACTTTACTTTCTATAGCATACTAAGATTTCTCTAGTAATTTTAAAAATAGTATGTTATTTTAGTAATTTATCTTTAGGTATTATATATTTAAATATAAATTCTGTTATATTTAGAACAGAATTTTGCCACTCTTTTTAAATGCATTTTTATTTATATTATTATTATTTTTTAAAGTAATCTCTAGGGGCACCTGGGTGGCTCAGTGGGTTAAGCCTCTGCCTTCAGCTCAGGTCATGATCCCAGAGTCTTGGGATCAAGCCCTGCATCAGGCTTTCTGCTCAGGCTTTCTGCTTTCTGCTTTCTGCCTCCTTCCTCCTCCCCCTCTGCCTCTCTGACTACTTGTGATCTCTTTCTCTCTCTGTCAAATAAATAAATAAAATGTTCTAAAAAAAAAAAAAGTAATCTCTACATTCAGTGTGGGTTTGAATTCATGACCCCAAGATCAAGAGTCACATGCTAGCCAACTCAGCTAGCCAGGTTTCCCCTTTGCTACTCTTTTTATTTATTAATTTTTTACAGATTTATTTATATATTTTAGAGAGAAACACACAGAGACAGAGCACGAGCTGGGAAAAGTACGGAGGGAGAGGAAAGAGAGAAACTCAAGCAGACTCCCCACTGAACACGAAGCTGATGTGGGGCTCGATCCCAGGACCCTGAAATCATGACCTCAGTCAAAATCAAGAGCCAGCTGCTCAACTGAGCCACCCAGGTGCCCCTGCCACTCTTTTTAGAATAAAAATTATCCTCATCTTGATTAGCTCCACTGTTGCTCTTCTTGGCTCATAGTAACTGTACAAAACATCACAAGTGAAGTTCATCATTGATCATGGAGGAGAATTAATTTTTTTCTTTCTATAAAAATCTGGAAGGAACATATTTCCAATAATTTTGATTCTTTTAAGAAAGACTGTGCCAAAACCTTTTTTTCCCCTCAATTTGGGAGAAAAGTTTCTCAGTGTGTTTTTTTGTTTTTATTTTGGAAGAAAGTTTTAAAAACCTTTCCATATATACATACTTATGAATTATAAAATAGCTATAAATTACAATATGCTTCTACGGTGTTTTTCTTTCAGTATTTTTTGCATTTGACAAAGACAATGATAACTGCATAAATGCGAAAGAGTGGGTTAAAGGATTATCAGTGTTTCTTCGAGGGACTTTTGAAGAAAAGCTTAAGTGTAAGATTTCTATATGTGATTACTGACTTAGTAATAATATACATTGTCAATTTTGTATTTAATGAATGCTTAAACGTTTTTTTAAAATATGAAATCCATGTTCTCTGTAGCAATCTTTCAAAAATAGCTCATGGCAGTTTAAAAAAAAAAATCAAAGTATGAAATGGGTAGCCTATTTCATGGGAGAGTCTCTAGTCCCAGGAACCCCAAACATTTCCTTCACTGGCTCTATAATGCCTAAATGTGAGCACGACCACTCTTTGGCTTAAGGCCCAGGCCAAGACCAGCAAGTCAACTTGTTTTTCTTTTTTTTTTTTTTTTAAGATTTTATTTTTTTATTTATTTGACAGAGAGAGGGAGATCACAAGTAGGCAGAGAGGCAGGCAGAGAGAGAAGGGGAAGCAGGCTCCCCGCGGAGCAGAGAGCCTGACGTGGGACTCGATCCCAGGACCCTGAGATCACGACCCAAGCTGAAGGCAGAGGCCCAACCCACTGAGTCACCCAGGCACCCCAGTCAACTTGTTTTTCAACTAGAGTGTGCCAACTCTAATCAGCCAGCAAGGTTAGTCAATGTTTTTGTGGCTGCCTGTGGGCTCAGCAGGAAATGGGTCTTGATATAAGGCAGTGCATAAGTGACAGTGAGGCCGTTCCTTGTCTCTTGATCGAAGAAAATAAATGGGAGGGATTGACACACAACAAGATAAAATGCACATTAACCATCAGACATCAATACTCTAGTGTTAGAATTTGTGTGGATGAGTGAAGAGAGGGAAGAAGGTTGAGGACAAAGAACGCCCACAGGGAGAAGGATTACAGGAGTTTCCTATAGGACCGGAATGTTAGGAATTCCAAAGACAAAAATTTCCCCATTCACAGTGTTGCCTAAAAATAACTAGCTCTGACCTCACTTCACGTGTACCAATGGTGTGTGTATATTTTCTATGTTTTATACCTCTGGGGCCAGGTTTTGGGGGAGGATCCCAGGAAAGAAAATAGGAACAATTTTAAATGGCACTCTTCAAGGGAACAATTGCTTGAAGTGTCAAATTGCTTAAGAAAAGGCTGTGGAGTTCTGAATCAGTAAGCAAATCTTTGTCCCTTGTTCTTCCACTTGAATTTGGATTTGGGATGTGGAAAAGAAGATCCCTAATTAAATACACATTTTTTAAACCACAGCAACATTTTTAAAAACCACCAACTTTCTCTGACATTTATGATTTTTTGTTTCTTTGTTTTGTGGGGGTCTTTTCTTAATTATTTTTGTTAAGGTGAAGTTGACATACAACATTCTGTGGGGTTTCTTTCTGAAAACGTTATTTTAAGTAATCTCTACACCCAGCATGGAGCTTGAACCCACAACCCTGAGACCAAGAGTCACATGCCCCACTGAGTCAGCCAGGTGACCCTGTGGGGCTTTATTCCCCCTTTTCTCCAGCCTAATTTTTCATGGGGATAAATTTAAAGATAGTTGCCACTTAGGTTTTTTGCAGTTTTCTTATACAAAACTCTCACTGAGAAATGAAAAGCTAAGTTGTCATTCATGGATGTAGATTCTTGTGGTGATACATAGGGAAAATGGCGGTGACACTGAAAGCAATTATACATGAGTGAATAGTATCACACTGTCAAAGAATTTTCCTCCTCTAATCCCTTTTCCTAAAAATGTTTCACTTACATTTCAGGATATGTTAACTTGGTTGAAAATACTACTTCTTACAGGGTTGTCCTGCATGTATGCTAGGGATTGAAGAAATTCAACAGAAAGACACAGCTAATCTGATACTCCGGAATTTTATACCCGGTTCTATTGTTCTTGCTGAAACATTTAACTAGATTACAAAAGCTCCTTCTCTACTGTATATTTAGCACCTGAGGAAGGTCCTCTGTGGCATGAGTGAATGGAGGAGTCATGGAAGTCACTCTCCAAGGAAAGAGTGATCCTTTTGGAGAGCGGAGATGGCAGGCTCCAAGGGGATGACAGACTCACTACCCAAATATATTGAAAAAAATGTTCTGTCAGTGATATGATGAAGTTTGTACTTAGTTTTTATACTCCATGTAAGAAAATCACAATATGGAGATACACACACATACATGTATGTGTACACATGTATCTATGTATTCAATGACCATAGGTTTAAATATTTATCTCCAGGGGCACCTGGCTGGCTCAGTCAGTAGAGCATACAACTCTTGATTTCTGGGTTGAGTTTGAGCCCCATGTTGAGTGTTGAGTTTACTTAGAAAACATTTATACGTATCTCTTTTATTGCAGTTGCAATCACATTTTTTTGAAGTCTATGAAATTCTTCGTTTACTCATGTTTTACCTAAGACCCATGAACTCATTCTACTACCGGAGATGCTCAGTTCTGGGTCATATAATACAAATATAAACTAATAACCACAATATAATGTGATTACTTAGAAATCTATGTATTTCCAACATACTATATGGGAGTGATGAGAAAGTTCCTTTCTAATGGATTTGGTGGAACAGAAGACACTGTCACAGAGTAAATATCCTTTCAGTTGGTTCTTGTAAACCTTGAGCAGAAAGAAACTAGAAAGAAGACCACGCCAGACAGTAGGAACAGTATGAATAAAAGCATGGGTGTCTAACTGAGCTAGTTCAGGTGGTAAAATTGATGTTGAGATGTGGGGCTAATAAGGTAAGTTGAATATATATCATTAAGGTCGAATCTTAGCAAAAAGGATCGGTTTCCTCTCCCCAACACTCCCTAAGAGGACAATTGTGAATCAACTATAATAAATAATGAAATATTGGATGGAGGCAGGGGAGTCTTTTAGGAGATTGTTGAAGTTATCTAGAAATAACAGTGGGGACAGAGAAGAGGAAAAGGACTATTAATATTTACAAGTTGGAATTGACTGTATCTCTTGGAATATAGAAGGTATTATTTGTTTTTAAATAGTTTTTTTTGTTTGCTTGTTTTTTGTTTTTAAATAGTTTTAAGCACCTAAATTAAGCTCGATTTCAAAGTATTCCAGAAACAAGAAGTTACCAATTAAGGTAATGTATTTAAATATACTTCATAAATGCCAAGACAGATGGCAAAATCTTAGGTATGTAAATTTTCAGTGAGCTGCGTTTTAAAATAGTTAGTTGTAAAGTACCTATAGTACTGATTCTCCAGCATGGACTGAGGAATGGTTTCAACTGGCTACATCAGTTTCACCTAGGGAACATTTTATAATACAGTTTTACCTGTGAAACATTTTAAAATACAATTTTATTTATTTATTTCACAGACAGACAGAGATCACAAATAAGCAGAGAGGCAGGTAGAGGGCAAGGGAAGCAGGCTCCCTGCTGAGCAGAGAGCCCGATGCAGCTCAATCCTAGGACCCTGAGATCATGACCTGAGCTGAAGGCAGAGGCTTTAACCCCGCTGAGCCACCCAGGCGCCCCCCTGTGCAACATTTTAAAATAGCATTTCCTGAGCTGCTACGACCAAGGAATCTGGACTCTTTGTGCTTTATCAGTTGGAGATCTGTTTTTTAATTATGAAGACTTAATATCAAATGTTCCTTACAAAGTTCATTCTGATATCCTATCTGCAAACTGTTTCCTCTCCAATCTAGGTACACATGAAAGGAAGCTGCATCTTTGTCAATCACTTCCCCCCCGCCCCAGATTCTTTTATTTCTCTGCTTTTATTGAGAAATAATTGATATACATCCCTGTATAAATTCAAGGCAATACAGATTGGTTTGATTTACATATATTGTTAATGATTACCACAATGGGTTCAGCTAACATGTTTTCTCATATAGACATAATAAGAAGACAAGAATAAAGGGAAAAAATTCTTATGATGAGAAGTCTAAGGATTTACTCTTTTAACAACTTTTCTCTATATCATACATCAGTGTTAGCTCTAGTCATCATGTACACTATTTCCCTAGTACTTATTTAACTTATGCTGGAAGTTTGTACCATCTTCCTCTAATTCCCTCTCCCTCAACCCTCTCACCTCTGATCACCACAAGGCTGATCTCCTTTTCTGAGCTTGTTGTCAGATTTTTTGTTTCTTTGTTTTGATTTTTTGGATTCCACATATAAGGAAGATCGTAGAGTATTGTCTTTCCCTGTCTTAATTATTTTACTTAGCATACTACCTTCAAGGTCCATTCTGTGTTGTTGAAAATTACAGGATTCCCTCATCGATCTTACAAACTTAGATTGTTTCCAAATCTTGGCTATTGTACATAATGCTGCTATGAACATTGGGGTGCCGGTATCTTTTTGAGTGAGTGTTTTCATTACCTTTGGATATATTCCCAGAACTAGAATTGCTGGAGAATACAATAGTTCTATTTTCAATTTTTTGAGGATCCTCCATATGATGTTCCAGAGTGGCTGCACCAGTTTATAATCCCACTAACAGTAAACTGGGATTCCCTTTTCTCCACATCCCCACAGGAGTTGTTATCGCTCTCTCCCCCACCCTTTTTTTTTTATGATGGCTGTTCTCACAGGCATGAGGTGATATCTCATTGTGGTTTTAATTGGGATTTCCCTAATGACTAGTGATATTGAGCATCTCTTCTTGTACCTGTTAGCGTTTCATTGATCTTCTTTGGAAGACTGTCTATTGAAGTCCTTTACCCACTTTTTAATCAGGTTGGCTTTGGGGTTGTTGTTGGTTTTTTTTTGTTTTGTTTTGTTTTTTGGTTATTGAATTGTAGGAATTCTTTATATATTTGTGATATTAACACCTTATCTGATACAGTTTTGCAAGTATTTTTTCCCCATTCCACAGATTGTCTTTTCATTTCTTGATGCTTTGTTTTACTGTGCAGAAGCTTTCTAGTTTGATGTAGTCCCCTTTGTTTGTTTTTTATTTTATTGTTTGTGCTTTTGGTGTCATAGTCATGAAATCATTACCAAGACTCATGTCAAGGAGCTTTGTTCCTATGTTCTCTTTTAGGAATTTCATGGTTTCAGGTTTCATAACATTTTTAAACTCTCAATTTCAAAATCCACATCCCAAGAGGGATTTAATAACATGGAAAGAAGTATAATAAAGGGTGCTTTATTTATTTATTTATTTAAAGATTTTATTTATTTATTTGACAGAAAGAGATCACAAGTAGGCAGAAAGGCAGGCAGAGAGAGAGGGAGGGAAAGCAGGCTCCCCGCTGAGCAGAGAGCCCAATGTGGGACTCGATCCCAGGACCCCGAGATCATGACCCGAGCCGAAGGCAGCGGCTTAACCCACTGAGCCACCCAGGCGCCCAAGGGTGCTTTATTTTAAAATCTCTATCATATGGACCAATAATTGTAGACTGCATAAATTGTATAATATATATTTTAAAAACTATATATTGAAATAACTGAAGAGAAGACTAGTGATATTTAACTGTTCTTTTCCAAATCTTTAAACTACTTGTGCTTTGGACAGTCTGTTTTGAAGTTTACTATTTGAATGGTGATGGTTACATTTCTCGAGAAGAGATATTTGACATGTTGAAGAACAGTCTACACCAACAGTCATCTGAAGAAGAGACTGATGAGGGAATAAAAGAGTTGGTAGATATAACACTGAAGAAAATGGTAAGAATAAAAACCTGTAACTTATTATATCCAATCAAGCAGATGTTGGAGAAAGCTAAAGACAAAGAAAGGATTTATTTTCCTTCATAGTGATAGTAACCTTTGTGAGGGCAGGAGATTTTTGTTTCTTTTCTGCTCTATCCATTGCTTAGAACAGTGCCTGGCTGATAGTGGGTGCTCAGTAAATACTTAGGGAATGGCTGGGTGATTAAATGAATCACTGCACAGCATGAATGTTAGTTTAAAATATTTTACTATCTGTGAAACTTCATTAATGTGTCGGTGGTAGTGCGCAGATTCGATTTGTGTAAAATAGATGCTACTCTCATCGGTCTTCACAGCCCTCACCCTCCAATCCATCAAAACACTCTATATATAACACTATATATAACAAGATAACATAATAGTTAAAATAGTTGTCCCTAGTGGTGTATACTGACCATATGCCAGATCTCTCACATAACTTTAGTATATGAACTCACTTTAACCTCAAAACAACCCTATGCAGTAGAAATTACGATCTCTATTTTACAGATGAGAAAACTGAAGTACAATTGGGTTTACCCAAGGTCACATTAGAAAATGGGGCGCAGAATTCTCTCAATGAAACAAATAGTACCACTTTATTACGGACATAGTAATTTCTCTCCTTTCTTACTATGTGACCATATCCTGGATACCGGTGAAAATGTGTGACTCTAAGGCACCCTGGATCCAGCTCACATCCATTATTCTTCTGATCAGGAAGGAAAGAGATGATGGGGGTGGCTGAGTCTCACATTCAACTAACGCAGGCTCCACATTATCTTCTTCCATTAGAAATACTCTCACGAGCTGCTGCTAAGGCTGAGGGCAGACTTCTTGAGAGATAGTGTGTTGCCAGTACTAAATGCACTCCCTTCTTTTTTGAAAGGAAATATCATGGATTGAGATTTTTTCCTTTCTTTTTTTTACTATGTTCCGTTAGCCAACATATAGTTCATCATTTGTTTTTGATACAGTAGTCAATGATTCCTTAGTTGTGTATAACACCCAGTGCTCATTACAACATGTGCCCTCCTTAATACCCATAGCCAGGCGGAGGGTATTATGGAGTGAGTTTTTTCTGATAATTATTCAAATGTCTCTCTAAGTTAGACTCTCAGCAACCCTGAATCAGCCATGCCCAGAAGTGAAAAAAAACGAGAGTTCATAAAATCAAACCCAAATTCAATTAAATGGTTAAAGGCATTTATAATATACCTACATGGTCTCCCCATGTTTAGTCTACCATAGTCCCTGTCAATAATGCTCCAGACAGGTCTGTCTTCCTGATGTACACTCCTTCATATTGTAAGGGTTCAGGGTGAGCCATTCTTCTGCATTTCCTCCCTACACCTCTCCAGCTACCTAAAGGCCATCTCAACCATCTTGAAAGACCTCCCAGTGGTCTGCAAGCATCTTCTCATGATTCTAGTCCATCCTGAACTGTTAATGCTCTCAGTGTCTTGCTCCTTACCTGAGCAAGTTCACTTTTATCCTAAACACAATGGGCTCCCAAGTCAGAGGTCCTTTGAAGAACAAGCTCTACTTAAATTACTATAAATTAAACTTGAAAATCTTTGCCCTATGGCACTGTTTTTATCACAAAAGTAGCAATATGATAACATGTCCTCTAATTTTTTTGTCTTATTCCACTGATTAGAGTATAAGTCTTTAGGGACAGGGCTATATTTTATACATCTAAGGTAACTCAGGTGTCTTAGTCCACTTGGACTGCTATAACAGAATACCAAACTGGGTGACTTTAACAGGAACTTATTTCCTAAAATCCTGAGACTGGGGGGCATCTGGCTGGCTCAGTTGGTAGAGTGTGTAACTCTTGATCTCACGGTTGTAAGTTCGAGCATTGTGTTGGGTGTAGAGATTACTTAAAAATAAAATTGTTTAAAAAGTCATGAGACTAGGAAATCCAAGCTAAGGTGCACCTCATTCACTTCCATGGTGAGGGCTCTCTTCCCAGCTTATAGACAGCTACCACTTCAGTGTGTCCTCACATGGCAGAAAGAGGGAACTCTGGTCTCTCTCCACTTAAAGGGACACTAATTTTATCTTGGGGGCTCCACCTTCAAGACATCCAAACCTAATTACCTCCCAAAGAGCCCACCTCCAAAACCATCACACTGTGGGCCTTAACATGTGAATTTGGAGGCAGGAGGGACACAAACATTCAGCCAGGTATTAATACCTGTAATACCAGGTATTACAAACAGATTTACAGGAATAAAGTAAGTAGCCTTGATAAATAAGTAGTGCCCACAGAATTGCAAACTAATAGTTTTACTTGGCAACGTGTTATTTTCTATGCAAAATTAAAAACCATCATTTATCGAGAATTCACCTTCCTCTCTAGGATTATGACAACGATGGCAAGATATCTTTTGCAGACTTTGAAAAAGCAGTAAAAGAAGAGAGACTTTTGTTGGAGGTGTTTGGACCATGTTTACCAGAAGCAAAGGTACAGTGTCAACAGCTCAAAATTAAGAGAAAATTCTAAGGGATCAGAACATAATACTTTCTAGACAACTCACCTCTGTAGGGGCTTTGGCCCACTACTGAAATTCAGGCAACCATGAGGGTCTCGGCTTCATCCTCATGTTTTGGGGCCCAACCATGGTGGCTATTTATTATATTCAACAGACTTTTTGAGCTTGTAACTTCTTTAGCTATACACAATTCCTGGTTTCTTGTATGTTGTTATTTTCTCAAAGAAAACTAGGGCATATTGGCTTAAGGGATAGAACACTGAATAGTGTATTCAGTAACTGATAGGACAAAACTTGGTCTATTTCAACCCAAATGTTGTCAAACAATAATTATGTTTTTAAAATCTTGGACATATTTAAAGTACTTTACAGAATTTGTGCTCATGAAGGTTTTTCATGTATAAATTTGACAAAAAATTTTCTTGAGCCAGAAAAGCCAGCCTAATAATTTATTTGACACATTAATATTTCCTTTAATTCTTCCTCTGATCAACTTTGCAAACCTGTAGAAATATTTTTTTGGTAGTAATTTGGATGGCAATTTTGAGGATGAACTTGCATAATGTTAAGCTCTCCTGAGCTATCTCAGCATATTTCTCTAACTTGTCCCATTTATGCCCACATTTTAACTCTGCCTGGAAATATGTAGTAAAATGCAATGTGTGAAAGGCAGACTTCTCATTTTGGGACTGATGGGACAAACAGTTTAGAGTGGACTGGAATGGAGTGGCTACTTAGGTCAGATGGAACACCAACAGTTCTTCAGTTGCTCCCAGAATTCAGCAGCCCAGTTATCAAGAGCCTTGCTTCTCAGTGTAATCTGTGCATGAGCAACAATGGTGTCATCTACTAACTTGTGAGAAATCTAGAATCTCAGGCCACACCCCACACCAAATTCCTCAGAATCTTGTCTTTCTTTTCTTCCTTCCCCTCTCCTTTTCCGTTTCCTTCCCTCTTTTTCCCTTTCCCTTTCCTTTTCCTTTTTCCTTCCTTCCTTCCTTCCTTCCTCTTTCATTCCTTCAATGCTTGACATAGCGAAGGCTCTTCTTTCTTTCCCCTATTGTGGTCAAATACTGTGCACGTTGGTGGGGATGGGGAGGCATGCTAGCCTCCACGGTCATGAAAAGATCCTGAAAAGATCAGAAATCCATTCAACAACACAGAACCCATTGAGCAGCTCCTCCCTTTAAGAATTTAAAAATTCGGGACGCCTGAGTGGCTCAGTGGGTTAAGCCTCTGCTTTCGGCTCAGGTCATGATCTCAGGGCCCTGGGATCGAGCCCCGCATCGGGTTCTCTGCTCAGCAGGGAGTCTGCTTTCTCCTCTCTCTCTGACTGCCTCTCTGCCTACTCGTGATCTCTCTCTGTCAAATAAATAAATAAAATCTTTAAAAAAAAAAAAAAGAATTTAAAAATTCTCCCCCAGAGGTTTTTTTTTTCAATTGTGGTAAAATACATCCAACATAAAACATATCATCTTAACCAATTACAGAGTTCAGTAATGTCAGGTACCTTCACAATGTCATACAATCTCCAGAACTCATCTTGCAAAAATGAAATTCTGTACCTATAAACAATTCTGCATTCCTACCACCCACCAGCTCCTGGCCACTACCATCAGAATCTGCATTTTAATAAGACCCTGAAGTAGAGAGTCATACCATCTTAATGTCTGAGAAGCGTGTTCTAGACAGTAACTTGCTCTTTCCAATTCTATGCTTGGGTGTCTAATGTGTCTTTTACCTGTGAGTTCAGCAGAGAAAAGTATCTAATTACCTTACAAGAAGTAATGCCAAACCCCTTGCCTGCAGCTTCTTTTAATACCGTCTAGCACTTGGAGCTATCCCAGCAAATTTATATCAGTAGGTCATAACTGGTGATGAACCTTAACTGGTATATTCAAATTCAATCCAATAGGCAAGAAGTCTTTAGGTATACAGAGAAAAGAAAAACAGACCACCATTTGGTATGGGTCTTCTCAAGTTATTTTTATCGGTTAAAAAAAAAAGAAAAAAAAATGGAAACAGCCTGAACACACTTGTTTCAATTTCCAATTACGTGGTTCACTGCCAGGAAAAGCAATGTGGGTATGCTAAAAGTAGTGGTTAGTAACCTAGCATTTACAAATACAGTGATTCATTTCTGCCATAGATAGGCACATTCTTAGACGTTAACTGAAGAATGTAGGCTTCTAATTTCAGCTTTGTTCTAATAGTTTATCTTTTTTACTTTACAGAATTGTATTGATTTTGAAGCCCTGGCATTCAGACACATCCTGACTTCTAGTTTTTGAATGTGAATCACTCAATACTTGTATTAAAATCAGAAACAGATCCCGACTGCCTATCCTTATTTGCATTGTAAAGTTTTTATCTTTCACTTCATTTACATAGAACTACTGCCACATGGGAAGTAATACTAAAAGAACAGTTCCTGTAATTTTTTTTTTTTTTTTTTTAAGATTTATTTGTCAGAAAGAAAGAGCACAACAGGGGCAGCGGCAGGCAGAGGGAGAAGCAGGCTCCCCACTGAGCAGGGAGCCCGATGTGGGACTCAATCCTAGGACCCCGAGGACATGACCTGGGCCAAAGGCAGACCCTTAATCAGCTGAGCTGCACAGGTGTCCTCAGTTTCTGTAATATTAAGTATGATCAAAATAACACCTATAATAAGTAATGATAAACTAATTTTATTCTTTAAGTTAGCCAACAAGCTTGGTTCTTGTGGCAAATACTGTGAATAAGCCTTTCACAATCCTCTTTTCTCTTTCTTCCTCATCCACAGAAGCTGGAAACCAAAACATTCATCACGCCAGACCTCCCGAGTTAGGAATGGCCAGGAGCCCACTTTTAGCCAATAAGATGCAACCAAAGTCACTGGGTGGAGCTCCTGGAAAAGTTTAGTTTTGTTTTTTTTAAGGAACATATTTGGCTGGCATGTACTTTGTCTATGACAACCTAATTTTAAAAGATGAAATTTTATTAGATAAGTAGCTTGAATGATATTATAAAGAGAAGTGCATCAAAAAATACCAGCAGTACAATCTCTTCAACAATTAAAGTGACAGGCTAGAAGTAAAAAGTTAGCAGAACCACAGAAATATAACTGGCTGCTGGCAGTCTATATTCTTCTTCTTTGCTTTAATGAGCGACTTGTACGCACATCTTCCAGCTTGTCTTCTGGAGGTTTGGGCACAGATGAAATGACCTAGTTTAAAAAAAGAGAACCACCAAAACTTAGTTTTTGTCGTACAAGAATAAGTAAACTATTAGAAGAGGTAGGATATAAATCTAATAGTCCAATTCTTGCCATCAGGTTTGAGGCAGAGTGTGCCCAGTTTCAGGGTACAGCCTACGATCTAGGCACAGTGCAAGGTTTTCTGTCCAAACACTGATGGGAGTAAAATTTCTAAAGCCATTTAATAAGAAAAAAAAAAGTTGGGAGAAAAGTAAATACATACTCTAACAATCCTTTATAGATCTGAAGTCATTTGCTATCTTATAGATACAGACAGACATCCTGATTCTGCATAACCTGAAACACTAATAACATCTGATGTATTTAGAGACATGGAGCCTTGAACGGGAGATAAGAAATTTGGAGAAATAAGCAGAAAAATGGTATGATCCTCAATTTCCTAGGGAATTGAAACCAAATACACCATCAGAAAAAGAGTGACAATGTGTTAAAGCAGAGTATAACAGTCTTGATTTAAATGCACAACTATTAGAAACTGTAGTAAACTGTAGTCAGTATTTCTCAATTTTGTTGTCCTACTGTTCCCTTACCTAGGATCTGGACCTACCAACTTTTTTTTTTTTTTTAGATTTTATTTATTTGTCAGAAGAGAGTGTGCACGAGCGAGACAGCATGGGCACATGTGCAGGCAGAGAGAAAAGCAGGCTCCGCTGAGCAGGGAGCCCCATACGAGACTCATCCCAGGAGCCTGGGACCTGAGCTGAAGGCAGATGCTAACCAACTGAACCACCCAGGCATCCCCTAACAACTCTTTCCTTGAAAATACAGTCAGCTCTGGCTGAGAGCGTTATGTATCTGTATCTATGCCTCAGATCAACTCTATCTGAAGGAAAGAGGGGGGCTAGCATAACTAAAAAATTTTAAGAGGCTTAAGCATGGAAATTGTGTTCATAGATTTTTATTATTTTAAAATAAGCCCTCACCCTTAGTCAGATAATAGTTTTCAGGTAAAACAAATAGACATAAATTAAGCCACCTTAGATTCCCCTTCATCACACAGTAAAATACATGTACAGCTGCATGAAAAGCACTTTCTGAACCTCAGGCTTAAAGTTTAGGACAATGGTCTTTCTCCCTTAGATGTCTAAAGGGTTTGTCCCATGAAAAGGTATCTTTCAAAAGCTAATTCAAATGTTAGCTTTCTTTCATTTGTGTTCAGAAAATGGAAAATGATTAAATAACATGGAAAGAAATTACTACTTAAGTAGCACAGTCAAGTTGTACTCTACTTAAGAAGTTGACATGTTCAAATGCAGACCTTAGGGCCTAGTCTTTAGAAATCTGGCCCTATTCTATGGCTACTTTTATCAAAGAAGCAAAAAGCATTTTAATTTGATGTAATTTGTATTAACTTTGAACTTGAGGAAAGTAAGCTGTAATAATTTTCCTTTAACACAACAGTTCTGTACTTTGGCTCATAACAGAACCATCTGGGGACCTTTAAAAAGGGAGGGCCTGGGCTCCACTCTCACAGGCTGACCTCACTGACTGAAACCACTGCTTTTATATTTTAGATCTGTATGTTCTGTTCATCGTTTAAAGCGAGGATGAATGACATCAAAGCATGTACATTTCTGTTAGATTCAGTTAACTCAACAGAGAACTGTAGAAAAACACATCAAAAAGCTGAAAATGAAAAAAATAAATGACAATACTTTAGTCGCCACAAATCTCCATTTAGTTGTTAGTCCTATGACCAAATGGTCTCTTAAAAGTTTTTTTTTGTTAATTTTTTTTTTATTTTTTAATTTTTTAAAAAGATTTATTTATTCATTTATTTGACAGACCGAAATCACAAGTAGGCAGAGAGGCAGGCAGAGACAGAGGAGGAAGCAGGCTCCCCGCCAAGCAGAGAGCCCGATGCAGGACTCGATCCCAGGACCCCGGGATCATGACCAGAGCCGAAGGCAGAGGCTTTAACCCACTGAGCCACCCAGGCGCCCCTTAAAACAGTTTTTAAAAATGATCTTACCTCTTGAAGTTTATTCCGAATTAAATCTGCTGTTGTATTCAACGAGTCGTCATGCATGTCCACTTTAGGTATGTGAGGTAACAGAGGCCCAATCATAACCTCATTACTACTCGTGCTTGTTCCGAGAAAAGTTCCAACTTTACGATCATCTTCTCTTCTTCTTTTCCGCTCCTGCAGCTGTGTTGTCCTAGGCATAAATCTGTCAACTGCCTCTGAAGAAGTAGTAGCCTTCTGTGCACCAGGGCAGGCCAACGAATTTTTAAAAGGTTTCATTTGTATCTTCTGTGAAGCGTCATTGTGCATACAATGCTCCACTGTTCCAGCACGGTCTCTACCACCCCGAGAGGAGTCTGATGCCCAGCCCATATGTTCCCCTGACAAACACGCACATTTTGAGGAAAAATAACATAAAGGCAATTCACAAGAATAAGGAAGACAAGGATCGGAGTTGCCAGCAGAAGTGTTCAGTGTGGCTGCACAAGGTCCAGATGTCCTTGAATGGAAGTCCTGTCTAAAATCTTCTGTGTCTTTAAGCTCTGTAACCAGTTTCTTCTTCGTCATGTAATGATCTTAATATTACAATTTAAAAGGTGAAAGAGGAAAAAGAAACGGTTCATTTGTTTTCATCATTTGCAAATGTCCACTTTTAAAAACAAACATCACTTTAAAAGGTTAACAAATGCTACCCTGAAAAATTTATTTCTTGAGCAGGTGATACCGTCATGTGTTTAAAAGCTAAAAAGGCGGCGCCGGGGTGGCTCAGCGGGTTAAGCCTCTGCCTTCAGCTCAGGTCATGGTCCCAGAGTCCTGGGATTGAGTCCCACATCGGGCTCTCTGCTCAGCAGGGAGCCTGCTTCCCTCCCCTCTCTGTCTCTCTGCCTACTTGTGATCTCTCTCTCTCTGTCAAATAAATAAGTAAATAAAATCTTTAAAAAAAAAAAAAAAAGCTAAAAAGGACAAAGGGTATATTAGTGTCAAGCTTCACTCTCTCTTTGCTCCCCATATGCCTGGTTTCCACTCCTCCATAAGTAAACCCTATTCCTACTTTATTTATCTGTCCAGTATGTCTTATTCTTCCTCCTCCCACTTACTCCTCTTTTTCCCCCATAATACCCATTTCTCTGCACCTTTGCATTTTCCACTTAACTGGGGATCTTAGAGGCTTTTTCTAGGTCATCACATAGAATGCTTTTTTCCCCCAGCTTCGGAGTATTCTGCTATATGAATGTATCATGCTGCTTAGCTTGTTTGTTAGATTTTAAAGGTGGCAATACGCGGGACCCATATTTTGTCCTTTTATTTGCCACACAACCCTAGAAGTTTTCTGGGAGCTATTCACATGCACCACAGGTTAATGTTCAGTGTCTACTAATGACCAGGGACTCTCAAGAGCTCTCTTGCCAAATTTTCAGGTGAGTTTTTCCAAGAGTCTTCCCACCTTATTTCTCTCTTCACCTCTGCCACATGTCACCTCTCCAGTCAAAAACTCCTCATATTCAATAACTGTATGGACATTGACTTTGTCTTTTATTTTTTTAAAAGATTTTATTTATTTATTTGAGAGATAGAGATCACAAGTAAGCAGAAAGGCAGGCAGAGAGAGAGGAGGAAGCAGGCTCCCCACTGAGCAGAGAGCCCGATGTGGGGCTCGATCCCAGGACCCTGGGATCATGACCTGAGCCGAAGGCAGAGGCTTTAACCCACTGAGCCACCCAGGAGCCCCTGACTTTGTCTTTTAATCGAAGGGTGGAAACTTGGCAATCTGAGCCTCCAGTATCATTCAGATTTCAGACCACACACATTATTTTAGTCCAATTCTGAGTGCTCTGTTCCTACAATCCTTGTACCAGATCCCATGACTCTATTCCAGGCACCTAGAATTTGTGTCTAGGGAAACCCAGTTGGGAATATGGGCCATGTGGCCAGCTGCTGGTCAAAAGTGGAACTTTTCCATGTTCAGCAGTTTTAGATTAGCAGTTGGTAACTAGTCTGCAAATCATAATTGTTTCTCACTGCCTTTGGTCAAGCCTTAATTCCTTAGCATGGGATATAAAGCCCTACATGATTTAGTTCCTGTTCTCTTCTCTAACCTTTATTTCTCACTGTAGCCCCTGTGCTGTGGTTATCCTGTACTATTCATGTTCCTTCCGAAGCATGATGCTCATTTATTCATGCTACCTGGCCTACCCTCCCATTTGAGTAATGTCTACTTATCCTTCAAAACTCAGCCACCTCTCTCAACCTGTAGGAACTCTTCCACATGCCAACATCTCTCCTTTTCCAGCCCAGATTACTTAAGAGTGTTGCCCAGAATCCTGTAGTTTACAGTTCTGAATATTGTGATCATTTATCTGCCTCTCTTCCCACTGGACTGGGAGCTCCATGATGATATACCTAGCAGAGTGCCTGACACATAGGAGGTGTTCAGTAACTGGCTTTCCATACCTTTATTTTTAGTAGTTCTTGCTATATAAGCCTTTCTCTCCTGTAATTTTTTTCTAGTTTCTTCAACTGTTTCAAATTCTGGAGCATAGCACACATGAAGCAATCCACCAAAGAAACTCTGTTCATCCATTTTTCTCTTGGCTGTCCTAAACAGAAAACAGCATGGTTTATTAATCTCGATTTACTTAGGATGAAAGCCGAACTAGTATACAATGCACTGGTCTAAAGAGCAACATTTAGGTTTTGCTATGTGTACACACATCCTCTTGTCTGGGAGTTAAGATGTGCTGCTTATGGATGGTATTGACTCTACTGATCTGGTGCATACTTTTCAAGCCTTTCATCCCCTCTCCCGATAGTGCTAACAGTTTTTGAGCTAAGTCATCCACACATAACCTGACTCCCTTTAATTAACTAAGGAGCCACCAGTTAACCTGAGGTACACAGTCTGTGGTTGTGAAACAGAGATTTCTCTGTGTTAAGTGGCCCTTAAGAGTCAGCTCATACCAAATTTAGCCTTTTCAGCACAATGGAATTCATACATAAAAATTAATAAATATAATATTGTAATCATAAAAATCTTCAATAATTAAATATTGAATACATAACTAATCCATGAAAAAGTAGAGGATGATATTCAACAAATACTTACTAAATATATATGAGTGGCCAGAACTTAAGCTACACTAAATATTTAAGTACTTCTGTGCCCAGGGATAATGATAAAAATACTTACTGAGATTTTACCATGCACCAGGTAGTATCCTAAGTGAATTAACATTTCATAAAAACCATATGATGACATGAGGCCTGGGGACATTTATAACAGCCATGCTCACACTAGTTTGTAGAGCTACGATTCAAACTGAGATGTTGAACTTCACAGCCTCCTGTACTATGTGCTCTGGAAGATGCAAAAGCTCTAGAAAATATGCTTCCCTAACCATGAGGGGCAGGCAAGTTGATTAGGGAAAGTGAGATTACATATGAGAGCAAACAGAGAACAACATAAGCAAGTGCTTTTGTGGCAGACTGCAAATCCTATTCATAGTACAGAAAGACAAGATGAATGGTGGGGTGCCTGGTTAGCTAAGTCGGTAGGCCATGTGAGTCTTGATCTCAGGGTTATAAGTTTTAGCCCCACACTGGGTGTAGAGATTATTCAAAAATAAAATTTTTTTAAAAAGAGAGAGAGAGAAAAGAAAAAATGAATGGTAACAGCCAAAGAAGGATGGGTCTTGGAGAGAATTAATGACAAGACTGGGGTCAACAGAAAACTAGTAAGGCATTTCATACTTCAGCCTTACTGAAGCAGAGTTTCTGTTAACAGAAAGCTAGAAAAGGTTGAGTCAATTCACAAAGGTACATAACATTAAGAACTTCAACGGCTAATGTTTACTGCATTCCGAACACAGGAGGCACTAAATTTAGCCCCTTTACATCGATTATCTTATACCATCCTCACACAACGCCCAAGGTAGGTCCTTTTACCATACGTATTTCGCAGAATAGAAAAAAAACAGCCTTACTTAGATTAAATAACTTGTCCAAAGTCATGATGCTAGTAAGCAGTGGAGTTCGAAAACTTACCCCAAACCCAATTTTTAATCTATGACAATACATGGTCAAAGGCTGTTAAGCATGGGAATGACATTTAAGACTGGAGTAAGATAAAAAATAATATAGGGCCATGTTAGATTATTCAGTAATTCAGGTATGAATGAGGGACAACTGGGGCCAAAGTGATAGCAGTGGGAATGGAGGAAATGAAACTTATGCTTAACTTGCACATTACCTTGCACTTTGTAAGTTCATAAATTTAATAAGATAAACTTCTGTAAAGTCTTCTGCTGGGTATTCATCTAGAGGATTATACTGTTCAATTGCACCATATAGAGCAAATCGCTCAACTAATTCCTTCATTGCTCCCACTGCAGGAACTCCTTGTATTAACAAGTACCGAGATTCCAAATTGATTGTATATACCTAAGAGAAAACATATAAAGATGTATCTTCCAAATAAGCCTAAGACATATCTTCTATTTAAAAAAAAAAAAAAGAGCTCGGGGATTAAAAACTACACTTACCATGCTGAGCACCAAGTAATGTGCTCAGATAGAACTGCTGAGTCACTATATTGTACACCTGAAACTAATATATAACACTACGTTAACTATAATGGAATTAAAATAAAAAACTTAAGAGCTCTGAAAAGAAGAAACATTCTGTTCAGCCGGTATGCAAAATAAATAAATAAATAAATAAATAAATAAATAAAATAAAATAAAGAATACACCCCTTCCGGTGACGGCCTCTAATTGAAACACTCTTCAATCGACATATTTTACAGAAGTTGGCTCAAAAGAAGTTACTAGAGAGAGAGAACAAAAATTGAGTGCTTACCATGCGCCAAGCGCTACTGTAAACACGGAAGATACAATGACTAAAATAAAACCCTGTCCTTCCGGAGCTGACATTACAGCAGTTGACCAAAGGGGGTTCGTGAGAATTTTTGGCCACCGAGTACCAGTTTTTCATACCCATCTCTAATGACTGATGGAGAGGACCGCAGCCCTTCAAGCCTTTATTACATAAAGTGGGCATGTGGAGCTAGAGCTAAGATAAAGCTATAAGCAATAGTGAATGAAACCAAAATCACTTTACCCTGACAGCACGAGGCCGCCGCCCCTCCCGATACTTGGCCCGCGTGTCGCATACAGCCCTCTGAACGTGGTGATCAAATACACCTCCAAGTTCGCCGCCACTCGACGCCATCTTGCCTATTCCGGCCCTTGCAAAAACGACAACATCCGTCTCGCCGCATTCCTGTTCACCCAATAAGAGAGGGAGATGGGTCAAGGCGTGCCAGGACTGGCTGGAGAATCGACAGCGTCTGGCATCGTTTCCTGTGAGTGAGACCTCGGTGAACGAGGTGCCGCCCTCCAGCGGCCTGGCGGAGAGACCTCCGAGAGCTCGAGCCCTTTGCCTCTCCCTCCTCGTCCCGGCGCGCGCGGCGAGAGGGGCGTGGCCGCAGGGGGCGGGGTCGATCGATCTTCTCTGGCTCCGACGCCCTCGGTCTGCTCAGTGGCCAGCGTCCTCTTAAGTGGACGGCTGGGGGGTGGTCCTCGCTTGTCTACCATGTGGGGCACCGATCGCCTGGCGGGTGCAGAGGGTGGTGGGGTAGCGGTGACTGTGGTCTTCACTAACTCCCGCGACTGCTTCCTCCACTTGCCCCGGCGCCTCGTGGCCCAGCTGCACCTGCTACAGGTAACGCGCCAGCCCTGGACGGCGGCTCGCTACCCAGATTCACGACACCCGGTTGGCAGCCTGGGGTCGGACCGGGCCAAGACCTTTTAGGGACGCGGCGGCCCTCAAGCCTGTCCGGGCTGGGTCGCCGCCGAGCCGTTCAGAGGCCAGACTGAGGGCTCTTCGAGGGCAAGGCCGGGGAGGGCAGGCTCTGCATCCCACACCACGTCTAGTGCAGCCCTAGGCCTTTAACTTGCCCTGTTTCAGGTGTTTTCACTTGGTGAGACTGGGCTTTTAAACATCCCGATATTTATGTCTGCATTCAGAAATATTTCTCCAGTTTGGAAAAGCTCCTGGAAGTCGCTAATTTTTATTTTTATTAAAAAAAAAATGTTTTTCTTGCTAGTGATTTTCAAATGCCTGCATGGCTGCGGTCCCGGCCTCTAGAGGGAGGGCCAGATTTGGTTTGCAGAGTCCCTGTAGGTTAACAGGGTATGTTAACAGGAACTGAGCACCGTATCCCACCAGCGGGGTAGTTTAATAAAATAAGGTTCTTCCCTGTGTCACCGATGCTTGGAACAGTTCTGAGGTGTACCAGAAATGTGCAGTAGAATTATGCATATTTGGAAGTACATAGGTAGGATTATTTGAACCTCTCTGGTCCGTTACCCTTTTAATTATTAATTAAAGGAGGTACAACATCCTCATTTTCTTACTAGAAATAGAGGCACATAGTCTTATGAGTTTGATATGCTTATGCTGGCAAAGGGATAGAATACTTGAAATCCTGGATGCATAGTACCCACTACTGGCTAATCATGCAGGAAATATTTAAGAATTTACAGTAATTTTAGTATCCTACCTTTCCACTTTACTTTTCCCAAACTGTTTTTCTAGATATTTTTTACCCTAGAATTATTGGCTTAGAGGGCATAGGTAATTATTAAAGCAGAAAGTCATAAGTTGGGAGTTAATGTGTTGAATTATTTTATTTGGGCTGAAGCATAGAGGACATAATACCTACAATGCTGTAATGGGAAGAGGGTCAGAAGAATAGTTTCCTGGCCTGTGTCAGATTTACCTTTAAGTTTTTCAAAATACCAGTGTTCTGGTCCTTCCTCAGACTTCTTGAATCAGAATCCTGGGGAGTGATTTAGGCATCTGTAATTAAAAAAAAAAAAATCTATCTATCTATCTTTGGGCTACTTGGATACACAAGAATTGAGCTCTCCTATTATAGAATCATAGAACGTTGATGGCAAAAGGGACCTGGGGCATCTAGGTCATTTCTGTACTTTCACAAGTTAGAAAACTACCACTCCTAGGCGGGTACCATTTCAGGTAATTTGTCCTCTTGTCTCTCACTTACTGTGCAGCATCCAGACCGGCCTTCTCACGGTTTCTTTCATAACCTAGCAACTTCCTACTTCTGTACTCTTACTCTTGCTATTCTTTCTGCCCAAAACCTTTTTCTTCATTTCATGCCTTCAAAAGCTGAGTGTAATCTTACCTCCTCCACCAAGCTTTCAAATTCTCAGTTGCTCACATTTGTCTCCTTTTCAAAACTTCACTGTTGTGTTTATGTGACACATCTCGCTTGTACTTTGTGTCTCAGGTGTCATCGGCTTATCCAAGCCCCTCTTTCAGGACTGGATACCCAATAGATGGTTTAACTTGGGATTTTTTTTTTTAAAGATTTTATTTATTTATTTGACAGACAGAGATCACAAGCAGGCAGAGAGGCAGGCAAAGAGAGAGGGGGAAGCAGGCTCCCCACTGAGCAGAGAGCCTGATGCAGGGCTCGATCCCAGGACCCTGAGACCATGACCTGAGCTGAAGGCAGAGGCTTAACCCACTGAGCAACCCAGGCGCCCCTAACTCGGGATTTTTTAACCTTGGCGCTCTAGGCTGGATAATTTTTTGTTGTGGGTGACTGTGGCTGGTATTATAAAATATTTAACAATATCTTTGACCTTTAGCCACTAGATGCCAGTAGCATACCTCCTTTTCAGTAGTAATAGTCCAAAAAAAAAAGTCTCCACGTGTCTCCACACATTGCCAGATGTCTCCTGGGGAACAGAAATCACCCCCAGTTGAGAACCATTGCTTAACTCAGTTATTTTGTCTGTATACTGGGCTCCGTGCTTGCTGTGATTGCTGAAATGGGGGGAAGGATTCCCGTCCACACTGAATGCAGAGAAACAAACCTAAATCGCCATCCAGAAATGGACAGATAAGGACTGGTCATTTCTTTTGTGTTAGCAAGGGAGAACCCAGGCCTCGGATCTGGCCGGTCCTAAGGCCTCACAACCCATGATTTCACCTGAAAGTTCTCTCCAGGTGATACTGGTACCACAGGTATAGGCAAAAGCACGTAGTCAGTCATTTGTTGATTGACCGGAGAAGTGGGCTCCTTTCTCCCCAGTCTGCTGGTTTCTTCTTTTTACCTGAGGTTCTGTGGTTCAGGTGGAAAAGGTTTTACATGAAAATGGACTCCGAGTAGTCTGCAAGGTTTACCAAATCCAACTGAATATATATTATGACTATGGTGCTGGTTACTACATTTTGACCGAATGAGTAATTGAAGTACTTTTCCTGTTTGATGAAGTTGATTTTCCCCTTTCCCAGTGAGTTGGTAGAATTTGCCTCTTTGATATTTCAGGGCGTATTTTGTATTTCCTTATTGAACATCTCTGGTTTTGAAAGCTTCTTCTTGTGAAATAGGAGTTGATCTGGATTATATGCCACAGACTCTTATGAAAGAGTGTGGAAAGCACCTGGGGGGGGTTGGTCATTTTTACCCTTGTAACCTCAGCTGACACAATTACAGCTGACAGTAATTTGGAATTTGACTCCAAATCCAGGGCTTTGTATACTTTATCACACGGTGCTTG